AGTCTCTATGTGTCTGATTCTGTGTGTGTGAGTCTGTGTGTGTGTGAGTCTGTGTGTGTGTGAGTCTGTATGTGGGAGTCTGTGTGTGTGTGAGTCTGTGTGTGTGTGAGACTGTGTGTCTGAGTCTCTGTGTGAGTTAGTGTATGTGTGTGTGATGAGTGTGTGTATGTGGGTGTTTGGGGGAGCGGGAGTGTAGTGGTTAGCGCTACGCTGCGCTATGAACCTGGCGACCCGGGTTCGATTCCCGCTCACAGTCAACACCAGTGACGATTATCTGACCCGGTCCCGGGCTTCCCCTAGGTCGACTCAGCATCAAATGAGTACCTGGTGCGGTGTGTAAACATCGCCACTAGGGAGACAAAGGCGGTCGGGCGTGTTGCTGGCCACCCACCCCCTCGTGTACCGTTCCGGCCTTCATAGGTGCTCGCTAACAGCACTTGCCCCTACAGTCTGTTAAGGCTATATGGGGGATCTTTGTGTACACGTGTGTGTGTGTGAGTTAGTGTATGAGTCTGTGTGTGTATGTGTGAGTCTGTGTGTGTGTGAGTCTGTGTGTGTGTGAGTCTGTGTGTGTGTGTGAGTCTGTGTGTGTGAGTCTGTGTGTGAGTCTGTGTGGGTGTGTGTGAGTCTGTGTGTGTGTGAGTCTGTGTGTGTGTGAGTCTGTGTGTGTCTGAGTCTGTGTGTGTGTGAGTCTGTGTGTGTGTCTGTGAGTCTGCGTGTGTCTGTGAGTCTGCGTTTGTCTGTGAGTCTGCGTGTGTCTGTGAGTCTGCGTGTGTCTGTGAGTCTGCGTGTGTCTGTGTGTGTGCGTCTGTGTGTGTCTGAGTCTGGGTGTGTGTGTGAGTCTGTGTGTGTTTGAGTCTGAGTCTGTGTGTGTGAGTCTGTGTGGGTGTGTGTGAGCTCAATAACAACGGTAGGAGGCTGCTAGATTTTTGTGCAGCCCATGGGCTTGTAATTACCAACACGCTGTTCCGGCATCGGCGCATCCACACAACATCATGGATGCATGCCGGGTCCAAGCAAGAACATCTGCTGGACTACATAGTGAGGGACCAGCGGATGCGAGCCCATGTCCTTGACACCAGGACCTACCGTGGAGCTGATCTGCCCTCTGACCATCGACTAGTCATCTGTAAGACGCGCCTTTGCCATTCTTCCACTCCGGTGGTGGGTGTACACCCAGGACCCCATTCCGACCTAAAGTGGCCTGGTCTCAGTTATCTGATGAAAGTTGCAAGCGAGAATTTCATCATCGCTTGCGGCTGGGATTGGCATCGTCCCCGACTCCTCCTGATGTCGAGGGTAAATGGGCGAGGTTTAGGACTGTGACTCATGCAGCTGCAATGGCTGCTTTAGGTGCGCGGTCAAGACCTCCCCAGAGACCCTGGCTGACAGAGGAGGTGTTCAGGATGGTTGAGAAAAAGCGACAGGCCCACTGTCATCGGCTACAGAATCCCACGTCAGTGAATGAGGAGGCTTACCGCAGCTTTCGCTCGGAGGTTCGGAGAGCCGTGAGGCGCTGCAAGGATGGGTGGTGGTCGCGGGTTGCTGAGGAGATGGAGTCTGCCTCAGTGGCCCGTGATCACAAATCTCTATTTAACTCCGTCGAAAAAGTAACCTGCAGCGCCACACCTATTACCATCATTAGGGGAAAAAACGGTGATCCTATCTCCGACCCCCAGGAACAGGTTTGCAGATTTGCTGAGCATTTCTGTGAGGTCCTGGGGGAGGGAAAATCCCTCAGCCAGGAAAACATCGTGGCACAAAGTGAGGATGACCCTGCTGAGGCTGCGGTGCCTCAAATATTGGAAGAAGTCACCCCCTGTGAGTGGCTGGCTGAGGTGCCATCTGTTGAGGAAGTACTGAAGGCGATCCGGAGTCTGAGACCAGGAAAGGCAGCGGGCAGAGATGATCTCCCAAGCAAAATGCTGAGGGAGGGTGGCGTTTGTGCACAGACTGCCCTATATGACATCATAACAACAGTCTGGACCACTGGACGGGTTCCGCAGGATTGGAAGGATGCCCTGGTCCTGGCAAGGATTATTCAGCATCGCCTTGCCAGGCATGCTGAGGAGAGGCTTGCGGAGTCCCAATGCGGTTTCAGGAAAGGGCGGTCCTGCACAGATGCCATATTTTATGTCCGTCTGCTACAGCAGAGGTGTAGGGAATTCCAACAAGACCTACATCTCTGCTTTCTTGACCTGGTCAAGGCCTATGATACCATCAGTAGGCCTGGGCTCTGGGTCGTTCTTCATGCTTTTGGAGTACCTGACCCTCTGCTCACGATCATTAAGGACCTTCATGATGGTGAACGGGCCCGGGTAAAACTTCGTGGCCGGGAGTCAGAGCCATTCCCTGTACACCTTTGGGTGCGACAGGGATGTCCTCTGGCCCCCACATTATTTAACATCTATTTTGACCACGTAGTTCATGAAGCCTTCAATAGCTGTACCGGAGGAATCTCCATATGGTACAGATATAATGGGAGGCTGATCGATGCCTGGGTGCGGTCAAGGGATGGCTCCCTATTGCTCAACCACGTTATGTATGCTGATGAATTGGTAATAGCTGCTCAGTCAGAGGAGGAGTTGGAGACGCTGCTGCTGAGACTGGAGCGTGCCACTAAGAGGTGGGGCCTTACCATCAGCCCCACCAAAACTAAGCACCTGTCTGGGTATTTTGTACCATCGGACACTCCACCCCCACAACTCCCGATCGGTGATGGGGCAGCTGTGGAGAGAGTGGAGAGTTTCCCATACCTGGGCAGTGTGCTTATGACTGGCTCCAGTTTAACAGCAGAGGTCTCACTCCGAATCAGTCGAGCGGCAATATCTTTTCATCGGTTGCGTAACGCTGTGTGGAAGCTACCTGGTCTGTCGCTCCGCACTAAGCTTCAGGTCTTCTCGGCCACGGTCATTCCCTCCCTTCTCTACGTTTGCGAAACGTGGACCCCCCTATTGGAACATCTTCGCCGGTTAGAAACATTTAGGCTGGCCTGCCTACGATCCATCCAGGGTTTAACCAGACTGGATTGTGTGAGGAGCTCACAAATCCTTGAAAGATCTGGGCAAGGTCCCATCGGTGAGCTCCTCCGGCGGGCAAGGCTGCGATGGCTGGGTCATGTAGCCCGCATGCCCAGCCACCGCATGCCGAAACAGCTTTTGTTCGGCCGGATTGAGGGGGCAAAGCGGGCGCGGCACGGGCTAGAGAAGAGATGGAGTGATGTGGTACAGGAAGACGTGGAGCTGAGTGGACTTCCCGATGACTGGTACCAGCGGTGTCAAGATCGGCCTCTGTGGAGGAGGCTCGTGAAGGACGCTACTGGGCAGTTGGAGGTAGTCGCCCTCCAACAACAACGGAGGGCGGACGAGCGATGCTCACAACAACGAGCGGAGCGCCGGGTGGCTAAAGCACAGCAGGTTGGCACAGCAGGGGGCACAGGTGGTGCATCAGCCAGTCATCTCAGTCAGTCGACCCGTGGCACCTGGGTCTGCCCCGTGACCTGCCAGCGGGCGATCGACACTTCACGTGGCCTCAGGGTGCACATAGCCTGGCACAAGCGTCGTGGTGACGTCACCGCCACTTAGTGGCGAATGGCGGTTGTTGTTGTGTGTGAGTCTGGGTGTGTGTGTGTGTGTGAGTCTTTGTGTGTGTGTGAGTCTGTGTGTGTGTGAGTCTGCACAGATGCCATATTTTCTGTCCGTCTGCTACAGCAGAGGTGTAGGGAATTCCAACAAGACCTACATCTCTGCTTTATTGACCTGGTCAAGGCCTATGATACCATCAGTAGGCCTGGGCTCTGGGTTGTTCTTCGTGCTTTTGGAGTCCCTGACCCTCTGCTCACGATCATTAAGGACCTTCATGATGGTGAGCGGGCCTGGGTAAAATTACGTGGCCGGGAGCCAGAGCCATTCCCTGTACACCTTGGGGTGCGACAGGGATGTCCTCTGGCTCCCACATTATTTAACATCTATTTTGACCACGTAGTTCATGAAGCCTTCAATAGCTGTACCAGGGGAATCTCCATATGGTACAGATATAATGGGAGGCTGATCGATGCCCGGGTGCGGTCAAAGGATGGCTCTCTATTGGTCAACCACGTTATGTATGCCGATGATTTGGTAATGGCTGCTCATTCAGAGGAGGAGTTGGAGACGCTGCTGCTGAGACTGGTGCATGCCACTAAGAGATGGGGCCTTACCATCAGCCCGACCAAAACTAAGCACCTGCTTGGGTATTTTGTACCATCGGACACTCCACCCCCACAACTCCCAATCGGTGATGGGGCAGTTGTGGAGAGAGTGGAGAGTTTCCCATACCTGGGCAGTGTGCTTATGACCGGCTCCAGTTTAACAGCAGAGGTCTCACTCCGAATCAGTCGAGCGGCAATATCTTTTCATCGGTTGCGTAATGCTGTGTGGAAGCTACTTGGTCTGTCGCTCCGCACTAAGCTTCAGGTCTTCTCCGCCACGGTCATTCCCTCCCTTCTCTACGCTTGCGAAACGTAGAAACATTTAGGCTAGCTTGGCTACGATCCATCCTGGGTTTAACCAGACTGGATTGTGTGAGGAGCTCACAGATCCTTGAAAGATCTGGGCAAGGTCCCATCGGTGAGCTACTCCGGCAGGCAAGGCTGCGTTGGCTGGGTCATGTAGCCCGCATGCCCAGCCACCGCATGCCAAAACAGCTTTTGTTCGGCCGGATCGAGGGGGCTAAACGGGCGCAGGACGGGCTAGAGAAGAGATGGAGTGATGTGGTACAGGAGGACGTGGAGCTGAGTGGACTTGCCGATGACCGGTACCAGCGGTGTCAAGATCGGCCTCTGTGGAGGAGGCTCGTGTAGCTAACAGCTGGTATCTGGTAGCTGGTTGTAGCTGGTAGCTAACAGCTGGTATCTGGTTGTAGCTGGTAGCTAACAGCTGGTATCTGGCAGCTGGTTTAGCTGGTAGCTAACAGCTGGTATCTGGTTGTAGCTGGTAGCTAACAGCTGGCATCTGGTAGCTGGTGGTATCTGGTAGCTAACAGCTGGTGTCTGGTTGTAGCTGGTGGTATCTGGCCACCACCACCACCGCCGCCACTGCCACCACTGCCACCGCCACCACCGCCATCACCACCGCCGCCACCACCACTGCCGGCACCGCCGCCATGTCCTGGTACGTGGGCCCGCTGTCCCGTGCCGAAGCCGAGGCTCTGCTGGGCCCGGCGGTCCCCGGCGCGTTCCTGGTGCGCGACAGCCGCTCCTGCCCCGGCGAGCTGGCGCTGAGCGTGGCAGAGGCACCGGCCCCGGGCCACCAGCACCACCACCAGCACCACGACCAGCACCACGAGCACCAGCACCAGCAGCAGCAGCGCACGGCACGGATCTCGCACTACATCATCAACCGCGCCGGCGGCGAGCTCCGGATGGGGGACCGGCGCTTCGGCAGCCTGGAGGAGCTGGTGGAGCACTACCGGCGGCACCGGCTGGACACCACCACGCTGCTTGTGCCGGGCGCGGGCGGTGCCGGTGGCGATGCGGGAGGAGGAGGAGGAGGCGGGGGGAGCAACACACAGGAGGTGGCAGAGAGGCGGGCGCGGTCGGAGTGCTCCGGTGAGCGGTGGTGACGGTGGTGAAGGTGGTGACGGTGAAGGTGGTGACGGTGGTGACGGTGGTGAAGGTGGTGACGGTGGTGACGGTGGTGAAGGTGGTGAAGGTGGTGACGTTGACTGTGATGAAGGTGGTGAAGGTGGTGACGGTGGTGAATGTGGTGACGGTGATGAAGGTGGTGACGGTGGTGACGGTGGTGAAGGTGGTGACGGTGGTGACGATGGTGACGGTGGTGAAGGTGGTGACGGTGAAGGTGGTGACGATGGTGACGGTGGTGAAGGTGGTGACGGTGGTGAAGGTGATGACGGTGGTGACGGTGGTGAAGGTGGTGAAGGTGGTGACGGTGAAGGTGGTGAAGGTGACGGTGGTGACGGTGGTGACGGTGGTGAAGGTGGTGAAGGTGGTGACGGTGGTAACGGTGGTTAAGGTGGTGACGGTGGTGACGGCGGTGACGGCGGTGAAGGCGGTGACGGTGGTGACGGTGGTGAAGGTGGTGACGGTGGTGATGGTGGTGAAGGCGGTGACGGTGGTGACGGTGGTGAAGGTGGTGACGGTGGTGAAGGTGGTGACGGTGGTGACGGTGGTGACGGTGGTGACGGCGGTGACGATGTTGACGGTGGTGACGGTGGTGAAGGTGGTGACGGTGATGAAGGTGGTGACGGTGGTGACGGTGGTGAAGGTGGTGAAGGTGGTGACGGTGAAGGTGGTGACGATGGTGACGGTGGTGAAGGTGGTGACGGTGGTGAAGGTGATGACGGTGGTGACGGTGGTGAAGGTGGTGAAGGTGGTGACGGTGAAGGTGGTGAAGGTGACGGTGGTGACGGTGGTGACGGTGGTGAAGGTGGTGACGGTGGTGACGGTGGTGACGGTGGTGACGGTGGTGAAGATGGTGACGGTGGTGACGGTGGTGAAGGTGGTGAAGGTGGTGACGATGGTGACGGTGGTGAAGGTGGTGACGGTGGTGACGGTGGTGAAGGTGGTGACGGTGATGAAGGTGGTGACGGTGGTGACGGTGGTGAAGGTGGTGACGGTGGTGACGATGGTGACGGTGATGAAGGTGGTGACGGTGGTGACGGTGGTGAATGTGGTGACGGTGATGAAGGTGGTGACGGTGGTGACGGTGGTGAAGGTGGTGACGGTGGTGACGATGGTGACGGTGATGAAGGTGGTGACGGTGGTGACGGTGGTGAAGGTGGTGACGGTGGTGACGATGGTGACGGTGGTGAAGGTGGTGACGGTGAAGGTGGTGACGATGGTGACGGTGGTGAAGGTGGTGACGGTGGTGAAGGTGATGACGGTGGTGACGGTGGTGAAGGTGGTGAAGGTGGTGACGGTGAAGGTGGTGAAGGTGACGGTGGTGACGGTGGTGACGGTGGTGAAGGTGGTGACGGTGGTGACGGTGGTGACGGTGGTGAAGATGGTGACGGTGGTGACGGTGGTGAAGGTGGTGAAGGTGGTGACGTTGACTGTGATGAAGGTGGTGACGGTGGTGACGGTGGTGAATGTGGTGACGGTGATGAAGGTGGTGACGGTGGTGACGGTGGTGAAGGTGGTGACGGTGGTGAAGGTGGTGACGGTGAAGGTGGTGACGATGGTGATGGTGGTGAAGGTGGTGACGGTGGTGAAGGTGATGACGGTGGTGACGGTGGTGAAGGTGGTGAAGGTGGTGACGGTGAAGGTGGTGAAGGTGACGGTGGTGACGGTGGTGACGGTGGTGAAGGTGGTGAAGGTGGTGACGGTGAAGGTGGTGACGATGGTGACGGTGGTGAAGGTGATGACGGTGGTGACGGTGGTGAAGGTGGTGAAGGTGGTGACGGTGAAGGTGGTAAAGGTGACGGTGGTGACGGTGGTGACGGTGGTGAAGGTGGTGAAGGTGGTGACGGTGAAGGTGGTGAAGGTGACGGTGGTGACGGCGGTGAAGGCGGTGAAGGCGGTGACGGTGGTGACGGTGGTGAAGGTGGTGACGGTGGTGACGGTGGTGACGGTGGTGACGGCGGTGACGATGGTGACGGTGGTTAAGGTCGTGAAGGTGGTGACTGTGGTGACGGTGGTGACGGTGGTGACGGTGTTGAAGGTGCTGACGGTGGTGAAGGTGGTGACTGTGGTGACGGGTCCACTTTAGCTAGCACCTGTGACAGGAGGCGATGATCACGACGATGATATCAGCCACTCGATTGAGCTGCTGCGATCTGCGATAGGCCATGCCGCTTCTGCACAAAGCGCTACCCACCAGCTCAGAGTGGGCCTCACACCCAGTGTTTGACATTAATTAACAAAAAAAAAGAGAGACATGCCTCTAACGTAGTCCCATCACGAATTGCGGCACGGCGAGAATCACCGTTCGGTGCCAACTCGAATCTTACTCCCCTCTCCCGCACCACCACCCCGCTCCGCCCGGCCTACGGCAGGCTCCGGCACTCTCCGGCGCCGCGGCAAAGCCCGGCCACATCGCAGCGCCGCCGCCGCCGCCAACAACAACAACCACCAGCATCACCAGCAGCAGCAGCAGCAGCAGCAGCACGACCACAACGATGACCACGCCTCCTCCTCCTCCGCCGCCGCCGCCGTCCTGGATGAGCGGCAGGCTTGCGGCCCGTCGAGGGGGCTCGGTGAATGCGACCGCGGCCGGGACAACGGGGCCTGGCCCGGCGGTGGCGGCGGCGTCGGCGTCGGTGTCGGCGTCGGCGTCGGCCCGGAGGCCATCGACAGACTCGCCAGCGTCTCCCGCAAGCAGGCGACGCTGCCCCGCCGCTCCAGGTGTCACTCCGGCGGCGGCGGCGGCGGCGGCGGCATCGCGGCCGGCGCCGGGCCCGGCCGGCTGGTGCGAGCCCTCTACGACTTCGACGGCAAGGACGCCGAGGACCTAGCGTTCCGCCGCGGCGAGACGCTCACCGTGGTGTCGGCGCCGGCGCCTGCCCAGGGCCAGTGGTGGACGGCCGCCAACGACCGCGGCCGCGTCGGCCAGATCCCCATGAACTACGTGGAGCTGCTGCCGCCGCCGCCGCCTCGCGGGACCGGGAGCACGGCCGACGCGGTCCGGCCGCGGGGCGAGGAGGAGGAGGAGGAGGAGGAGGGGGCGAGACGGAGGCGTGGCGGCTGCGGTGTTGGAGGCGGCGGTGTCGGAGGTGGCGGTGTCGGAGGTGTGGAGGGGAGGGAGGGTGGGTGGGTGGGTGGGTGGTGATGAGGTGTGGGAGAAGCCGGAAGGGCCATGAGGAGGTTGGGGAGGTTTATGTTCTGCGGCTCTTGGAGGAAAAGCGCTGGGCGGAGAACTGCTGAGGGGAGCGGCGGTATTGTGCGCAGACTGCCCGATATGTCATCATAACAACAACAACAACAACGAAAATCACGACTTTTCGGCCACAACACAAGTGGCCTTCATCAGGTGAAGGTGACCGGACTTGTCTCGAGGACGGCGCTGGAGTGAAACACAGCCAAGCTCAGACCGCGACCTTTAAGCTGCGTGAGAGGAATCGCACGGCTTAAAGGTCGTGGTCTGAGCGTGGCTGTGTTTCACTCCAGCGCTGTCCTCGAGACAAGTCCGGTCACCTTCACCTGATGAAGGCCCACTTGTGTTGTGGCCGAAACGTCGTGATTTTTGTTGTTTTATTTGTTTTACCTACTACGTGACTTTACCGAATAGATCCAAAGAGTGTGGATCCTTGCAGTCACGAAAGCTTCGAATCTAGAATCATAACATCAGTCTGGACCACTGGATGGGTTCCGCGGGATTGGAAGGATGCCCTGGTGGTCTCCCTCTTTAAGAAGGGGGGACCGCACAGACTGTAACAACTACAGGGGCATCTCACTCCTCAGTGTGCCGGGAAAGGTCCTGGCAAGGATTGTTCAAGATCGCCTTTCCAGGCACGCTGAGGAGAGGCTTGCGGAGCCCCAATGCGGTTTCAGGAAAGGGCGGTCCTGCGCAGATGCCATATTTTCTGTCCGTCTGCTACAGCAGAGGTGTAAGGAATTCCAGCAAGACCTACGTCACTGCTTTATTGACCTGGTCAAGGCCTATGATACCATAGTAGGCATGGGATCTGGGTTACTTTTAGTGCTTTCGGAGTCCCTGACCCTCTGCTCACGATCATTAAGGACCTTCATGATGGTGAGCGGGCCCGGGTTAAACTACATGGCCGGGAGTCAGAGCCATTCCCTGTTCACTTTGGGGTGCGACAGGGATGTCCTCAGGCTCCCACATTATTTAACGTCTATTTTGACCACGTAGTTCGTGAAGCCTTCAATAGCTGATCGATGCCCAGGTGCAGTCGATGGATGGCACCCTATTGGTCAACCACGTTACGTATGCCGACGACCTGGTAATTGCTGCTCAATCAGAGGAGGAGTTGGAGACGCTGCTGCTGAGACTGGAGCGTGTCACCAAGAGGTGGGGCCTTACCATCAGCCCCACCAAAACTAAGCACCTGCCTGGGTATTTTGTACCATCGAGCATTCCACCCCCACAACTCCCAATTGGTGATGGAGCAGTTGCGGAGAGAGTGGAGAGTTTACCATACCTGAGCAGTGTGCTCATGACCAGCTCCGGTTTAACAGCAGAGGTCTCACTCCGAATCAGTCGACTGGCAATATCTTTTCATCGGTTGCGTAACGCTGTGTGGAAGCTGCCTGGTCTGTCGCTCCACACGAAGCTTCAGGTCTTCTCGGCCACGGTAGACCCGCCGAATCGAACAATTTCACCGGTTGGAAACATTTTGGCCGGCCTGCCTACGATCCATCCTTGGTTAGACCAGGCTGGATTGTGTGAGGAGCTCACAAATCCTCGAAAGATCTGGGCAGGGTCCCATCGGTGAGCTCCTCCGGCAGGCAAGGCTGCGATGGCTGGGTCATGTAGCCCGCATGCCCAGTGACCGCATGCCTAAACAGCTTCCGTTCATCTGGATGGAGGGGCATAAACGGGTGCGGCACGGGCTAGAGAAGAGATGGAGTGATGTGGTACAGGAGGACGTGGAGCTGAGTGGACTTGCCGATGAACGGTACCAGCGGTGTCAAGATCGAACTCTGTGGAGGAGGCTCGTAAAGGATGCTACTGGGCAGTTGGAGGTAGTCGCCCTCCAACAACAACGGAGGGCGGAGGAGCGACGCTCACAAAAACGAGCGGAGCGCCGGGCGGTTAAAACGCAACAAGTTGATATAATAGAGGGCACAGGTGGTGCATCAGCTCAGTCAGTCGACCCGTGGCACCTGCTGGGTCTGTCCCGTGACCTCCTGCCAGCGGGCGTTCGACACTTCACGTCGCCGTAAAGTGAACATGGCCTGGCACAAGCGCCGTGGTGACGCCACCGCCACTTAGTGGCAGGTGGCGTTTGTTGTTGTAGAGGTGGTGGAGCGGTAGTAAACGTCGCCACCGGGGAGACAAAGGCGGTCGGGCGTGGAGCCACGATGAGGTGGTATGGGGAGCGGTGGTGCAGTGGTTAGCGCGCTAAGCTGCCAACCTGGCAGATATCCGAGTTCGATTCCCGCTAACGGCTAACACCAACGTCGATTCGTCTCTTGGCGGTGGAGGTTGTGGAGGAGGAGGTGGTGGTGGAGGTGATGGTGGTGGTGGTGATGGTGGTGGTGGAGTTGGAGGCAGTGGTGGTGGTGGTTGAGGTGGTGGAGATAGTGGAGGAGATGGTGTAGGTGGTGGTGGAGGTGGTGGAGGTGGTGGTGGAGTTGGAGGCAGTGGTGGTGGTGGAGATGGTGGAGATGGAGGTGGTGGTGCTGGAGGTGGTGGAGGTGGTGGAGTTTGAGGCAGTGGTGGTGGTTGCAGGTGGTGGTGGAGGTGGTGGAGTTGGAGGCAGTGGTGGTGGTTGCAGGTGGTGGTGGAGGTGGTGGAGGAGATGGAGATGTGGAGATGGTGGTGGAGATGATGATGGAGGAGGTGGTGGTGGAGGAGGAGGTGATGGTGGAGATGGTGGAGGTGGTGGAGGAGGTGGTGGTGGAGGTGGTGGAGGAGATGGAGATGGTGGAGATGGTGGTGGAGATGATGATGGAGGAGGTGGTGGTGGAGGAGGAGGTGATGGTGGAGATGGTGGAGGTGGTGGAGGAGGAGGTGGTGGAGGAGATGGAGATGGTGGTGGAGGTGGTGGAGGTGGTGGAGGTGGTGGAGTTGGAGGCAGTGGTCGTGGTTGCAGGTGGTGGTGGAGGTGGTGGAGGAGGAGGTGATGGTGAAGGAGGTGGCGGCGGAGGAGGTGGAGGTGGCGGAGATTGTGGCGGCGGCGGCGTTGTTGGAGGTCCGCGGAGTTGCCGGTGCGGCTGTCACCGCGAGCCGGAGAGACCCCGGCTCACGGCCGACTCCGCTGTTGTCTCCCGCAGGCGGTGCCGGTGCCGGTGCAGTCGGCGGCGGCCTGCTGGGGGTGAGGGTGCCGGTGTTGGCGAGGGTGGTCCAGGACCGCACCCCGACGCCCTACGACACCAGTGCCCTCAGGCTCAAGGTGAAACACCCTCGGACCGAGACGAGCGGAGAGACCCAGCGACGGTGACGGAGACATAGTGATAGGTTTTTAACCCTTTTTAACTGGCACAAAAACCGACACCTTTATTCGAGGCATCGTGTCTGCAATAACCACAACACAAGCAGTCAAAATGCAAACACAAAAAAAGACAACTCTGATAATGATATTGGCACTGTCCTTGAATTTGATTGGTCCACACCCGAGACGGCTTTTCTTAGAGCCCTTTAGTCTCCACTGGTGTTGGACCAGAAGATGTTGTTGTTGTTGATGATGTTGTTGATGTTGTTGATGTTGATGGTGATGTTGATGTTGTTGATGATGTTTATGTTGTTGATGATGTTGATGTTGTTGATGTTCTTCTTCTTCGGTTCTTTCGGTATAGTCACGTAGAATGAGAATAAAATAATAAATTGATAAAATAAAATAACACAATAATATTCTCACGACGTTTCGGCCACAACACAAGCGGCCTTCATCAAGAAGATGAATCATTGCAGTCACGAAAGCTTTAAATAGAAATTTAAAAGTTGTTGATGTTGTTGATGATGTTGATGTTGTTGATGTGATGTTGATGTTGTTGATGATGTTTATGTTGTTGTTCTTGTTGATAATTTTGTTGGTGTTGGTGTTGTTGATGTTGTTGATGTTGTTGTTGATGATGTTGATGTTGTTGATGTTGTTGATGATGTTGATGTTGTTGATGTTGATGATGATGTTGTTGATGTTGTTGATGATGTTGATGTTGTTGATGATGTTGATGTTGTTGATGATGTTGATGTTGTTGATGATGTTGATGTTAAAACCTATTCCTATGTCTTGTTACTGGCAAAGGAGGTCTCATAATGTAATTGCTCACCCCGAGCCCTCAATAACTCTGATGGTGCGCTGTTTTTTGAGTTGTACTCCTTTTGGCGTCTTCTGGTCCAACACCAGTGGAGAGACTAAAGGGCTCTAAGAAAAGCCGTCTCGGGTGTGGACCAATCAAATTCAAGGACAGTGCCAATATCATTATCAGAGTTGTCTCTTTTTGTGTTGCATTTTGACTGCTTGTGTTGCGGTTATTGCAAACACGATGCCTTGAATAAAGGTGTCATTGTTATTGTGCCAGTTAAAAGGGTAAAACCTATTTACTATATCTTGTTACTGGCAAAGGAGGTCTCATAATGGTGACGGACACCTCGGCACTAACGCAGTGGCCGAGGTGTTCACGTAGACACCGAGATACTGACACCTGGTTGAGTTCACCCACCCACCCCCCCACTGAGCTGCGTGATGGTTGAGTCCACCCCCCCCCCCCCCCCCCCACTGAGCTGCGTGTTGGTTGAGTCCACCCACCCACACCCCCTCTAAGCTGCGTGTTGGTTGAGTCCACCCACCCCCCCCCCCCCCCCACTAAGCTGCGTGATGGTTGAGTCCACCCACCCCCCCCCCCACTAAGCTGTGTGATGGTTGAGTCCACCCCCCCCCCTCTAAGCTGCGTGATGGTTGAGTCCACCCACCCCCCCTCCTCTAAGCTGCGTGATGGTTGAGTCCACCCACCCCCCCTCCACTAAGCTGCGTGATGGTTGAGTCCACCCACCCCCACCCCCCTCTAAGCTGCGTGATGGTTGAGTCCACCCCCCCTCCTCTAAGCTGCGTGATGGTTGAGTCCACCCACCCACCCCCACTCCCCCCACTGAGCTGCACGTTGGTTGTGTGTCCACCGCCAGGTGGGCGAGGTGGTGAAGGTGGTGAGGGTGGACGTCAGCGGCCAATGGGAGGGCGAGGTGGCCGGGAGGCGTGGCTTCTTCCCCTTCACCCACGTGCAGCTCCTGGCAGGGCCTCGCTGACACGCGGCGGAGGTGGAAGTCGTAGATTCTGCCGCCCCACCGGGAGATGATGATGATGATGACGACGATGGTGTGGCGATGATGCCGGCCAACAACTCAAATAGAGAAGAAGATGATGGCGGCGGTGGTGGCGGTGGTGGCGGTGGCGGTGGTTGGGGAGACTCTGGGTAGATGGCGGGAGACTCCGGGGAGACGCTAGGAGATGGTGGGAGATTCTGGGAGTCTCTGGAGAGATGGTGGGAGACTCTGGGGAGATGGTGGGAGTCTCGGGGAGATGCTGGAAGATGTTGGGAGATTCTGGGAGTCTCTGGAGAGATGGTGGGAGACTCTGGGGAGATGGTGGGAGTCTCGGGGAGATGCTGGAAGATGTTGGGAGATTCTGGGAGTCTCCGGAGAGATGGTGGGAGACTCTGGGGAGATGGTGGGAGTCTCGGGGAGATGCTGGAAGATGTTGGGAGATTCTGGGAGTCTCTGGAGAGATGGTGGGAGACTCTGGGGAGATGGTGGGAGTCTCGGGGAGATGCTGGAAGATGTTGGGAGATTCTGGGAGTCTCCGGAGAGATGGTGGGAGACTCTGGGGAGATGGTGGGAGTCTCGGGGAGATGCTGGAAGATGTTGGGAGATTCTGGGAGTCTCCGGAGAGATGGTGGGAGACTCTGGGGAGATGGTGGGAGTCTCGGGGAGATGCTGGAAGATGTTGGGAGATTCTGGGAGTCTCTGGAGAGATGGTGGGAGACTCTGGGGAGATGGTGGGAGTCTCGGGGAGATGCTGGAAGATGTTGGGAGATTCTGGGAGTCTCCGGAGAGATGGTGGGAGACTCTGGGGAGATGGTGGGAGTCTCTGGGGAGATGGTGGGAGTCTCTGGGGAGTCTCCGTGGAGACGCTGGGAGACGCTGGGAGATGCTGGGAGATGCTGGGAGTCTCTGAGGAGACGCTGGGAGATGCTGGGAGATGCTGGGAGATGCTGGGAGACTCCGTGGAGATGCTGGGCGACTCTGGGGAGATGGTGGGAGTCTCTGGGGAGTCTTTGTGGAGACGCTGGGAGACGCTGGGAGATGCTGGGAGATGCTGGGAGATGCCTGGAGTCTCTGAGGAGACGCTGGGAGACGCTGGGAGATGCTGGGAGACTCCGTGGAGATGCTGGGTGACTCTGGGGAGATGCTGGGAGATGCTGGGAGTCTCTGGAGAGATTCTGAGAGACTCGGGGAGATGCTGGAAGATGCTGGGAGTCTCTGGGGAGATGCTGGGAGACTCCGTGGAGATGGTGGGAGACTCCGTGGAGACGCTGGGAGACGGTGGGAGATGGTGGGAGTCTCCGTGGAGATGGTGGGAGATGGTGGGAGACTCTGGGGAGATGGTGGGAGATGGTGGGAGATGGTGGGAGACTCGGGGAGATACTGGAAGACTCCGGGGAGACGCTGGGAGTCTCTGGGGAGACTCGGGGAGATGCTGGAAGACTCCGTGGAGATTCTGCGAGACTCCGGGAGATTCTGGGAGACTCCGTGGAGATTTTGGGAGACTCCGTGGAGATTCTGGGAGACTTCGTGGAGATTCTGGGAGACTCGTGGAGATTCTGGGAGACTCCGTGGAGATTCTGGGAGACTCGGGGAGATACTGGAAGACTCCAGGGAGATGCTGGGAGTCTCTGGGGAGACTCAGTGGAGACGCTGGGAGATGCTGCGAGTCTCTGGGGAGATGATGAAAGACTCTGGGGAGATTCTGTGAGACTCCAAGAGACGCTGGAAGATGCTGGGAGTCTCTGGGGAGACTCCGGGGAGACGCTGGGAGTCTCTGGGGAGGTGACAAAGACTTTTCCCCGACACGTCCCTGTGATTCGGGCCGCCGAGGGTTACCGCTCAAGAACATTCGGGAACCGTTGGATGATGCTGAAGACCAACGCAGAGGAAATGTGGACGTTATTGGTAGCAGTAGTGATTAGCATTGAAGCATCGTCGGAAACAACATTGTACGAGCGTTGGTTTTACCCTTCATGGCAATAAAACGACCTGTGTTTTGATGTTAAAACACCAAACAGAGACACTTTTTATGCCAAGGAATCACGTCTAGTCGCATTAGCCACACACGGCGCTTGTGGTGAAGCATGCAATCAAAAACAAGCTATGGTAGTACAGTGAAACCTTGGGTTGCGAGCATAATTAGTTCCCGGAAACGTGTGTTTGTAGTCCAAAGCACTCGTATATCAAAGCAAAGCACTCGTATATCAAAGCACTCGTATATCAAAGCACTCCTATATCAAAGCAAAGCACTCGTATATCAAAGCACTCATATCAAAGCTCTCTTATATCAAAGCACTCGTATATCAAAGCACTCGTAATATCAAAACACTTGTATATCAAAGCACTCGTATATCAAAGCACTCGTATATCAAAGCACTCGTATATCAAAGCACTCGTGTATCAAAGCACTCGTATATCAAAGCACTCTTTCATCAAAGCACTCGTGTATCAAAGCACTCGCGTATCAAAGCACTCGTATATCAAAGCACTCTTTCATCAAAGCACTCGTACATCAAAGCACTCGCATATCAAAGCACTCGTATATCAAAGCACTTGTATATCAAAGCACTCGTATATCAAAGCACTTGTATATCAAAGCACTCGTATATCAAAGCAAAGCACTCGTGTATCAAAGCACTCTTGTATCAAAGCACTCGTGTATCAAAGCACTCGTATATCAAAGCACTCGTATATCAAAGCACTCGTGTATCAAAGCACTCGTGTCTCAAAGTACTCGTGTATCAAAGCACTCTTATATCAAAGCAAAGCACTCGTATATCAAAGCACTCGTATATCAAAGCAAAGCACTCGTGTATCAAAGCACTCGCATATCAAAGCACTAGTATATCAAAGCACTCGTATATCAAAGCACTCGTGTATCAAAGCACTCTTTCATAAAAGCACTCGTATATCAAAGCAAAGCACTCGTATATGAAAGCACTCGTACATCAAAGCACTCGTGTATCAAAGCACTCGTACATCAAAGCACTCGTATATCAAAGCACTCGTGTATCAAAGCACTCGTGTATCAAAGCACTCGTGTATCAAAGCACTCGTATATCAAAGCAGTCGTATATCAAAGCACTCGTATATCAAAGCACTCCTATATCAAAGCACTCGTATATCAAAGCACTCTTTCATCAAAACACTCTGCTATCAAAGCACTCGTATATCAAAGCACTCGTATATCAAAGCACTCGCGTATCAAAGCACTCGTATATCAAAGCACTCGTATATCAAAGCACTCTTTCATCAAAGCACTCGCATATCAAAGCACTCGTATATCAAAGCACTCGTATATCAAAGCACTCGTATATCAAAGCACTCGTAATATCAAAGCACTCGTATATCAAAGCACTCGTATATCAAAGCACTCGTATATCAAAGCACTCGTATATCAAAGGACTCGCATATCAAAGCACTCGTATATCAAAGCACTCGTATATCAAAGCAAAGAACTCGTATATCAAAACACTCGTATATCAAAGCACTCATATATCAAAACACTCGTATATCAAAGCACTCGTATATCAAAGCACTCTTTTATCAAAGCACTCGTGTATCAAAGCACTCTTTCATCAAAGCACTCGGATATCAACGCACTCGTATATCAAAGCACTCGTATATCAAAGCACTCGTATATCAAACCACTCGTATATCAAAGCACTCGTAATATCAAAACACTCATATCAAACGTGAATAACCGTAACGTGAATAACCAAAAAACAAAGAAACCATGCTAGTCATTGGGGGGGGGGGGGGGGGGGGGGGGGGGGGGGTTATTTTCCGGTAAAGTCACACGTGTAGGAATACCGTGAAGTTATATTAAGAACGAATCAATCTACGACGTTGCGTTGATTGATTCGTTGACGATGTTGACGTCAACGAATCAATCACGACGATGATGACGATGATGTTGACGATGACGATGTTGATGACGTTGATGACGATGTTGACGATGACGATGTTGACGATGACGATGTTGATGATGACGTTGATGACGATGTTGACGACGTTGATGACGATGTTGACGATGACGATGACGATGTTGACGATGATGATGATGTTGACGATGACGATGTTGATGACGTTGATGACGATGTTGACGATGACGATGTTGATGTTGACGATGTTGACGATGATGATCACGATGTTGACGACGTTGATGACGATGTTGACAATGATGATGACGATGTTGATGACGATGTTGACGACGATGTTGACGATGATGTTGATGTTGAACCAAGAATAATTATTTTATTGTTTTACAATAATTGTATTGTTTTATATTTGTATTATTTTATTGTTTCCCTTCTACGTGGTGGTGACTTTACCGAAAGAACCAAGAATAATAATTTTATTGTTTAATATTTTTATTATTTTATTGTTTCCACTTCTACGTGATGGTGACTTTACCGAAAGAACCAAGAATAATAATTTTATTGTTTTATACTTTTATTATTTTATTGTTTCCCTTCTACGTGGTGACTTTACCAAAAGAACCAAGAATAATAATTTTGTTGTTTTATATTTTTATTATTTTATTGTTTCCCCTTCTACGTGGTGACTTTACCGAAAGAACCAAGAATAATAATTGTATTGTTTTATACTTTTATTATTTTATTGTTTCCCTTCTACGTGGTGGTGACTTTACCGAAAGAACCAAGAATAATAATTTTGTTGTTTTATATTTGTATTATTTTATTGTTTCCCCTTCTACGTGGTGACTTTACCGAAAGAACCAAGAATAATAATTGTATTGTTTCACAATAATTTTATCATTTTATTGTTTCCCCTTCTACGTGGTGGCTTTACCCAAAGAAACCACATCTTACACGTTTATAGTGGCAGGAAAGGGTCCCCCCCCCGGTGGCAATATTGGAGTCAAACTAAGCACAAAAATGCGTTGAATGAAGGAGGGTTAAGACGCTCCACACTTAAACTTACTCGATCTGACCCCCTAAAACAAAACAGAAAAAAACCTTCATGATGACCTGGACACATTTTTAGTGCCGTAAAGGGTTACGAAACCAACGCTTGCACGTTAATAGTGGCAGGAAAGGGTCCCCCCCGGTGGCAATATTGGAGTCAAAATGAGGACAAAAATCTGCGCATTCGTGAGCCACGGAGACCACCCAGGGGAGTGGACGTTTGAGACAATTTTGGGGCGCCGCGAATTGCCATTGACGATCACGGAGACCAAATGGAGATCTACACAGAGACACACACAGAGACACACACAGAGACACACACAGAGACACACACAGAGACACACAGAGACACACACAGAGACACACAGAGAGACACACAGACACACACACAGAGACACACACAGAGACACACACACAGAGACCAATGGAGACCCACACAGAGGCCAATGGAGACACACACAGAGACCAATGGAGATCCACACAGAGACCAAATGGAGATCTACACAGAGAACAATGGAGATCCACACAGAGACCCATGGAGATCTACACAGAGACACACACAGAGACACACACACAGAGACCAATGGAGACTCACACAGGGACCAATGGAGATCGACACAGAGACCAAATGGAGATCTACATAGAGACCCATGGAGATCCACATAGAGACCCATGGAGATCTACACAGAGACACACACAGAGACACACACACAGAGACCAATGGAAACCCACACAGAGACCAATGGAGATCTACACAGAGACCAATGGAGATCCACACAGAGACCCATGGAGATCTACACAGAGACACACACAGAGACACACACACAGAGACCAATGGAGACCCACACAGAGACCAATGGAGACTCACACAGAGACCAATGGAGATCCACACAGAGACCAAATGGAGATCTACATAGAGACCCATGGAGATCCACACAGAGACCCATGGAGATCTACACAGAGACACACACAGAGACACACACACAGAGACCAATGGAAACCCACACAGAGACCAATGGAGATCTACACAGAGACCAATGGAGATCCACACAGAGACCAAATTGAGATCTACATAGAGACCAATGGAGATCCACATAGAGACCCATGGAGATCTACATAGAGACCCATGGAGATCTACACAGAGACACACACAGAGACACACACAGAGACCAATGGAGACCCACACAGAGACCAATGGAGACCCACACAGAGACCAATGGAGACCCACACAGAGACCAATGGAGATCTACACAGAGACCAATGGAGATCCACACAGAGACCAAATGGAGATCTACACAGAGACCCATGGAGACCCACACAGAGACTCATGGAGACCCACACAGAGAACAATGGAGATCTACACAGAGACCAATGGAGACCCACACAGAGACCAATGGAGACCCGCACAGAGACCAATGGAGACCCACACAGAGACCAATGGAGACCCACACAGAGACCAATGGAGACCCACACAGAGACCAATGGAAACCCACACAGAGACCCATGGAGACCCACACAGAGACCCATGGAGATCTACATAGAGATCCATGGAGATCTACACAGAGACACACAGAGACACACATAGACTCACACAGACACCCACACAGAGACACACAGAGACTCACACAGAGACCACACAGAGACTCACACAGAGACCAATGGAGACCCACACAGAGACCAATGGAGACCCACACAGAGACTCGTGGAGACCCACACAGAGACCAATGGAGTCCCACACAGAGACTCATGGAGACCCACACAGAGACTCATACAGACCCACACAGAGACCAATGGAGACCCACACAGAGACCAATGGAGACCCACACAGAGACCAATAGAGATCTACACAGAGACCAATGGAGACCCACACAGAGACCAATGGAGACCCACACAGAGACCAATGGAGACCCACACAGAGACTCATAGACACCCACACAGAGACCAATGGAGACCCACACAGAGACCAATGGAGACCCACACAGAGACCAATGGAGACCCACACAGAGACCAATGGAGACCCACACAGAGACCCATGGAGACCCACACAGAGACCCATGGAGATCTACATAGAGATCCA